TTTATGTCTTCAATAATAAGTCACATCTATTTGCGATTTTATTAGCTACATTCAATGCTGCCAAGCAGGGCCGGATTAACATAGGGGCTGATGGAGCTGCAGCTCCAGGCCCAGGCCCATGGAATAGGCCCATTGATTTAAAAAAAAAAAAATTTTTTATTTTTTTTTTTTTACATTTTTTTTTTCACACACTACTCTTAGGGATTCCACCTGGCTTTTATTTTATTGGCACAGCCAGTATTTGAGGCTGCCTGGCTGGTGCCAATATTGCAGTGATATTGGCAATACAAATGCTGGTATTTTTCTCAGTATAAACAAGAGATTACTATGCAATACCAGCACTGGCCAGTATGGGTCGCTGTGTGTGGAGAGAGGCAGGGATAGGAAGTTCCAGCATATCCCTCCCTGCCTATCTATACTCTGATGATCTGCAGGGGTGCAGCTACAGAGAGTCCAGACAGCAACTCCCACCCTGCAGAGACAGCCTACAGCTCAGGGAAGTAAGGGATGGGGGAAAGGCTGCAAGGAGACATACACTGAGACACTAAGGGACATTGGGAGACATTATGGCAGACACTGAGACACTAAGGGACACTGGGAGACATTATGGCAGACACTGAGACACTATGGCAGACACTGAGACACTAAGGGACACTGGGAGACATTATGGCAGACACTGAGACACTAAGGGACACTGGGAGACATTATGGCAGACACTGAGACACTAAGGGACACTGGGAGACATTATGGCAGACACTGAGACACTAAGGAACATTGGTAGACATTATGGCAGACACTGAGACACTAAGGGACATTGGGAGACATTATGGCAGACACTGGGACACTAAGGGGCACTGGGAGACATTATGGCAGACACTGAGACACTAAGGGACACTGGGAGACATTATGGCAGACACTGAGACACTAAGGGACACTGGGAGACATTATGGCAGACACTGAGACACTAAGGGACATTGGGAGACATTATGGCAGACACTGAGACACTAAAGGACAATGGGAGACATTATGACAGACACTGAGACACTAAGGGACATTGGGAGACATTATGGCAGACATTGAGACACTAAGGGACATTGGGAGACATTATGGCCGACTCTTAGACACTAAGGGGCATTGGGAGACATTATGGCAGACACTGAGACACTAAGGGACATTGGGAGACATTATGGCAGACACTGAGACACTAAGGGACATTGGGAGACATTATGACACAGACACATGGGGACACAGTGTCCCCATGTCTCCCAGCCAGTGTCCCTGGTGTCTCAGTGCCCCCTAGTCTCCCAACGACCCCTGGACTCCCAGTGCCCCCAGTCTGCCAGTGTCTCACTTTCCCCATGTCTCAATGTCCCCATGTCCCCCAGCCAGTGTCTCTAGTGTCTGTGTCCCTGGTGTCTGTGTCCCCATGTCTTCAAGTGTCCCTTATTTTCCCATTGTCCCCATGTGTCCCAGCCAGAGTCCCCTAGTCTCCAAGTGTCACTGGTGTCTCCGTGTCCCTAGGTCTCCCCGTCTTCCTAGTGTCCTAGTGACATGGGGACCCTGGGATACATGGGGACACAGGGAGACATGGGGCATTCAGACACTGTGATACATAGGATCACTGGGAGACCTGGGGACATGACACTAGGGGACACTGGGAGACATGGGGCACTGAGACACTGATACATAGGAACACTGAGACCTGGAGTAATCGACACATGGGGGCACTGAGTCATGAGGGCACTAGGAGACATGGGGGCACTGGGAGGAATCCATCTATACAGCAGAATCAAACTAAGTAGTTTTTTGGTGATTTTACAGCATTTTCTCTTATGTCACTCCTTGTGATTTACATCATGTGATGTCACCCATACATATTTAATTATGCAAATTAGTAAGGCTGGTATGTTTTTCCAAGAAAGGTGGCAACCCTAACTACTTTTCACATACTCTTACTTAAGTATGGAAACTTAAGAGGGATGTATGGGAAAAAAACCTGTATGGGCTGGCTGACAATCATTATAGTTAAAGGGACACTATAGTCACCAGAACAACTACAGCTTATTGAATTTGTTCTGGTGAGTAGAATCATTACCGTCAGGCTTTTTGCTGTAAACACTGTCTTTTCAGAGAATGTGCAGTCTTTACATTACAGCCTAGTGATAACTTCACTGGTCACTCCTTAGATGGCTGTTAGAGATCCTTCATGGGTCATGGCTGCCTAAAATGCATCCAAACATTCAGTGTCTCCTCCCTCTGCATGCAGACACTGAACTTTCCTCGTAGAGATTAATTAATTCAATTCATCTCTATAAGGAGATGCTGATTGGCCAGGGCTCTGACCCTGATCTGCCTCTTTGTCAGTGTCAGCCAATCCTATGGGGAAGCATTGTGATTGGATCAGGCCACCACTTCTAATGATGTCAGCAGACTGCTTGTTTTTATGAGTCTAACAGCATGCAGAGTTACAGCTTCAGGCTTGAATATAGTAACATTTTGCTATATTTATGGAGGCATGAGGGGCCCGGGGGGCTAGATGGTGGTGTTAACACTATAGGGTCATGAATTCATGTTTGTGTTCTTGACCCTATAGTGATCCTTTAAGGTAATGATGACTTTGGTCTCTCTAACACTGTGGCATGTTCCCTTTCTTCTACACTCACTACATACAGCTTTTCTCTGTCCCAGACCATATACCAGGAGCTTCTGCCTGCTACTTAGAAGGTAAGGAGACAAGTGGACCAGCGAGTATTAGGGGACAGTCCTTAGAAAGCGTTGAGTGAGCGCATCATTAGATGCATTTATGCCAAGCTAAGGGTGCTGTCTGCATAGTATGCCCTTAGTTGGCCAGCTGCATGATTGGCAGGCAGCCTGACATGCATTCATGCCAGGCTGGCCTTCTAATTCTTTGGGCAGCCATGTCCTCTTTTTGGGCATGTTCGCCCCTTTTGGCAGGTTACGTGATTTGTGTCAATGGCACACTCTTTTACCTTCCTGCTTGACTGGACACTGCTGTTAGGGGTTATGGATTTACTTGAAAGATGAAAACATAAATTAGAGAGAGATTAGCCTAGGGTATGTGTTTTCTTATAGCTGCTGTTTCTATCTCTCCAGCACCATCTCCATCAGATACATGACGCTTGGGAGTGTTTTACTGTTTTTGGTCGATATGATTCTGTAATTAGGCCTGTCATAATTAACAGCACCAGGCCCACTGGGCTCTTAATCTGGCCCTGCATATACAGACTAGGGACCATCTATCCAAATGGTATGAAGGAGGACAGAGATTTCACTTTCTTCAGATGATTTAGATTCTGTATCTACTTATACTTTTTATTACCTATTATTTTTAGTTTTAATGCTTTAAAGATGTGGAACTTATATATGAGTTAAGAGAGTTTTATATAGAATTACTATTTCGGATTACAGTCCACATGAAAACTCTGGATGAGATTTCCAACACATTATGAACACTTTGGATGAAATTTTCTACATACACTTCTCATTCAGTCTAATTTTTATTTTTTGCAGTCTTCACCTTGATGTGCCCAGGGGTGGACTGTTGGACTATATGATTGTTTGGTCCTCTTGGCTTCCCCTCCTGTAGCTATCTGCCAGTGATCGCAAGAAGCAATCCGTAATCCATGTGCAGTACGCAATAACATTACACGTTCACGTGCGAAACAGGGTCACGTCAGACGCAATGACGTCAGATGCTCCACGCGGATATCAGCAACAAGAGAGCGCAAGAGCTACTAGATCTAAGGACAGGTGTCTGTTATTATAGGTCCACATCCATTTTCATTGAAAGGGACACTATAGTCACCAGAACAACTACAGCTTATTGTATTTGTTCTGGTTAGTATAATCATTCCCTTCAGGCTTTTTGCAGTAAACAGAGAAAATGCAGTGTTTACATTACAGCCTAGGGATAACTCCGCTGGCCACTCCTCAGATGGCTACTAGAGATGCTTCCTGGGGCAGTGCCGCAGAATGTGCCGTACTGCCATTCAGTGTCTCCTCCCTCTGCATGGAAACACTGAACTTTCCTTATAGATATGCATTGATTCAATATATCTCTGTGAAGAGATGCTGATTGGCCAGGGCATGTTTGGCTCTGCCCCGATCTGCCTCCTTGACAGTCTCAGCCAATCCTATGGGAAAGCATTGTAATTGGCTCAGAAGAACACTTCTAATGATGTCAGCCAAGCAGGCAGATCAGGGGCAGGGCTAGCATCTGCAGACTTAAACAAAAGTAAGATTTTACTATATTTAGGGAAACAAGGGGGAGGTCAGGGGGTTAGTTTTGGTTTTAACACTATAGGGTCAGGAATACATGTTTGTGTTCCTGACCCTATAGTGTTCCTTTAGTGCCTGGGTTTATGTCACTGTTTGCATGGTTCATTTTTCTACATATATGCACTTTACATTTGTGGATGTATTTTATCTTGTTCTTTGAATAATAAAATATATTCTATGCAATATTAAAAGGTGTGTATATTACAAGGTTTGAGTTTGTTATTTTTCCTTATTTGCCTCCGTGGCACTGCCAGGGAAGTAGAGGTGAGTTATAAGGGAACCTCATAGTTGGAAATGTTGGAAAGGTTTTTCTGTTAACGTTGTCGCCTATGTTTTTTTATGATCTTTTATAAATGTTTATCTTTTAGTTGGGTTTGTCAAACAGATAATTATAGAATTATTCCATGGTTTATTAGGAATTTCTTCATATTTGTTTGCAATTATATTTCCTTTCTATGTTTTTGGGCACCCTCAATTCATTATCTAGAGCAGGGGTAGGCAAGCTTCAGCACTCCGGCACTCCTTTTGATACTTTGCCAGTATTAAGGCTGTAAGAACATGACTGCAAAGGCCTGAAACACAATGACCCCACCAAGCCCACTTTCCCCAAACTCCCAATAAAGACACTGATACCAAATTAAGGGGAAGAGCTTGGCCAAATCTTTATTTAACCAACATATAATTTACAATCCTTTAACTGTCAGCTGTAGGTCTCCACTCAAACAAAAATTGCCAACTTTGTGTGTCTCTTTCTTTCTCTCCTAAATCTCAATCTCACTTTAGTGGGTTTCTTTGTCCCCCAGCCCCTCTGTGTGTCTCTTCCTTTCCAAGCCTCTTTTTATAGATCTCTTCTCCCCTCGGCTTTTCTTTCTGTTTCTTTGTCCCCCAACCCCACTGTGTCTCTTTGTCCCTCAACCCCTTTGTGTGGCCATTTTCACCTTCCCCAACCCCTCTGTATGTCTTTGTCTCACAACAGACACTGCGTGCCTCCTCTCACCCCCCCCCAGGCCTCTGCGTGCCTCTCCTCCACGTGTGGTCTCCACCCTTCCCCCTCCTCTACCCCCCATGGCAGCTCACCTCCTTCCTCAATGTAGAATGGCCGGGCCATGGCCCACAATGGAGGATCTTCTGTTTCCTCCATCTGGTCTGACAGGATGCCGTTTGGTGCTCTCAGTGAGCACTTCCTGTCACACCGGGTAGAGGTTACAGAAGATCCTGTACCCTGGTCCGTGGCTCGGCCACGTTACATGCTGTGACTGACAGGAGGGGAGCGCACATCACTGGTGGCCTGATGGTTCCATGGAAACTGTGCCCCCTGGGCCAGAGCACCCTAGTGGTTGAGCTAGCCCTGTCTAGCTTTCACTACGTGTACTCCAGGTGCTGGCAAGGGCAAATTCTGCTTTCACAATAACTAAAAAACAAAACAAAAACCGACAGGAAACCACAGGAGCTAAGAAAAGCTAGCAAGCCAAGAAAAGGGGCAGGAGGGTGGGAAAAACTGCTTAGTGTGCTGTCCAGGATCAAGAGGAAGTAAGAAGGTAAGTGGCAACAATTTATACATTTACACCCCAACATTGTACCCATCAATCTTTCAATCCGTAACTGCCTTGTAGGCCAGTCCCAAAGAACAGGCATATAAGCAGTCATGGCCCATCTCACCTATGCTCTAGACTTTCTTTATGGGAGAAGTAGTACACAATATCTGGTGTGCCAAATGCTTCCCAATCCTGATTTAGTTTTTTTTGTTTTTTTTCAGAACATTTTCAAATGTTTGCTAATGCAGTCTGAGAATTATAGATGTTAATTAAAAAATAGAAAATACAGAGTGTTGGCTATTGACATTCTGATTTCTCAGAAACGAAAATATGCTTTGTTGTAGTTCATTTTATTACCTCTCTTTCTTCACATGGAGTGACAGCATGATTGCGGCAAATTCTCATATTAAAAAAAAATCTTAATTTATAAATCTCATCCAGCTTTCACCCACTTTTGACACCACAGGAGCTCATAATAAACTATACGTTAGACTAAGCCATGGATGTTCCAAGACTTTTAATTAATACTTATTCAACTTTCCTTTGTCACTTCTACAACACAAAATGGAGATAGCAATATTGTTGAACTTTAAAAACTAGCTCATGATTTTTGACACTTTAATGAAAGTTAACACTTTTGTGGAATTTATAGGCACGGGGAGGTGTATTTCTCATATTTGTGGACTACTGATTCTTGAACAAATTGGGCCTTGAGATATGTTGATATAATTCATCATTGTATGACCTTGGAAAAGGTTTAGAGGATGCTGGTGCAAGGTCACCAGGTGTGTGGGCGAAGAAGCCAGCTGCCTTAGTAATCTTTCTTGCTTGCTAGGGTTGTATTTTTTAAATGAGAAAATAAGAGATTTTCCTGTGAGAATAGTGTACTCTTTCTTTAGAGCATGTGTTCGTGGCGCTTGGGAGGGGAAGCTTTTGTGCCTCCTTATCTCTAACGGCATTATTTAACCAGTCTTGTGTGGCTCTTAAATAATCATGTGTTCTCGATAAAGTTTCGATCAATAAACAGTTCTTAAATCAGAGAACCAAATCCGTATCTTTTCAAATAGCTAAAATCTGTCATCACCAGGCTCTCCTAACTGGTGTCTAGAATCTGGTGGAACAATCAATTGAGCTCCTTCCCACCTTCCCTGGTTTGTTCCTGTGACCATTTAAGGATATCAGGAAATGCTGTCCTGAAGTGGACACATTAAGTGTATCATTAAACGTATAAGGCCGTAAAAGACAATGACCAGAGTGTTAACTGTGTTTCCATGCATGGTTCAAGCTCTTAATGGCGCTAGCCAACATGGCAGCCAGTTATTCTATGCCTATTTCATTAGGGTCATGTTCTGGACTGACCTCTTTAAGCCTGACTTAACTGAAACTTCGCCACGGTTCTTATAGAGGTCCTGCTTGCCAGCCTTCCTAGGACTATATGGCCCCTGCGATAGACCTGGCTAAAAATACTTTTAAAAGACTTTTGGTGTATTGGGATTATATGGTTCGGGTCCCACAGATGAACCAGAGACCACCCGGGAGCTTGTTAAGCCTAATTGACAGTTTGTAACACTTTCCACCTACTGAAACTCCTGAACACCGCTGGACTTCCAGGAGCACCTGAGTTCGGTTCTACACAACTTAGAAGGGCACTGTTCAATGGAAATGTTCCCACGAACAAGGTGAACAAGCTCCAGGGTAAGAACATGTTCGGTAAGACTATGTTCGGTAGTTTGTTCGGTATTTAAAACTACTGAATTAGACAGACCACAAGCCCTGATTCTCTGGAACTGTTTTGGGCATGGGACCATGCGTGCGGTCGGTCAAATTATGACTTCCAGGAAATTCCTGAACCAATCTGGGTGATTTTTTGGATATGTTGGTCACCCAGATCAGGGCTATCAGGGGATGTAACTTTTGTGGGGATATTGTGTTTTTAAAGGTATTTTTGGGGTTTTGTAAAAATGTATGTTTTCTATGCCTGGAGATAATGGAGTTTAATACAGGGCTGACTCAATTATGTCCCAGGCACAGGGGAGGGATTGACCTATTTTGTATGGAAGTGTCCTGGACCTATGAGAGCCTATGTAATCATGTGTATGTTTTTACTGTAGTCTACTCTCATGTCCAGGGGGGGAGTGCCCCTTGTATGGGGACCTGCATATAAGGTTGTGGCTGCCATTAAAGAGATTTGTTTTACCCTTCATGAAGGCTAGGCTCATGTTTGGGGGATTGGAGAGCTATATTTACTCTGGGGATTGCTATAATCACTATATGCCCTTGGCTTACAATGATTGCTCTTGTAAGAGCAGCCTGCTTTGCTCTCTGGACTAGGAGAGGTTGCCCACTGGAACCGTGATCCTGGTATTGGGTCCAGGGTGCGTGGAGGACAGCGAGACCCCAAACAAGCTGCGGCGGTTTGTGGTGTGTACGGTGGTTATGGTGTCTGGTTCTGTGCTTATGGTACTCAAGGATTACTAGGAAGCAGCGATTGGCGGAGGCACCCGGTCTGGGTGCCAGGCGGTCCGTCACAGCCTGTATTACACGTTATTATTGGGATGTATGCATCTCTGTTTTAGTGGCTTCATGTGCTGGCCACGTTGTATAAAACTGGAGATCGTGTCACTGCTCTTCACATTCTGAGTATCGCTTATGAGCGAAATTAGGCATAGACATATTATCTTACTCTTGACCTTTCAATGTGTGCACCCCACAGCAGACTACCACACCATAAAAACAGGACTGGTGCAAGGATTTTTGGGTACACAGGCGAAAATTATTTTGGCGCCCCCCAAAAGCATCTTCACTTGTGTCCCTCGTAACCTGCCTTTTGTTTCTTATCCCCTTTTTTAAATGTCTTACCCCCTTTGGTGTATCTCATCCCCTATTTTTTCCCATTGTGTGTCTTACACCTGCCTTGTGTATATCTGACAATCTCCCTTTGTGCTTCTTACCCCCCCAGCCCCTTTGTGTGTCTCCTTCTCTCCCAGCCCCTTTATGTCTTTTACTATTTCCAGCTCCTTTGTGTGTTTCTCTTTCACCCCAAGTCTGTCTATATCTCTTTATCCTCTTTTCCAACCCCTCTGTGTCTCTTTCACCCCAAGCCCCTTTGTATTTCCACCAGAGGCCCTTCTGTGTGTCGCTTTCATCCCCAGCCCCTCTGTGCATCTTTCTTACCCCCAGGCCCATCTGTGTGTCTTTCTCCCCACTCAGGCCCCCCTGTGTGCCACTCTTTCCTCCATGTCCCTTAGTGTTCCTCTCCCCTCTATGTCCATTAGTGGTCCTCTCTCCTCCCCGTCCCTTAATGGCAAAACAACAAATTTACAATAGAGCATATTTCATATTTAAAAGGTAAATTTTGTATTTCATTTATATAATTTGGCCATTAAAGGACCACTATAGTGCCAGGAAAACATACTCGTTTTCCTGGCACTATAGTGCCCTGAGGGTGCCCCCACCCTCAGGGACCCCCTCCCGCCCGGCTCTGGAAGGGGAAAGGGGTAAAAACTTACCTTTTTCCAGCGCTGGGCGGAGAGCTCTCCTCCTCCTCTCCGCCTCCGTTACGCCCCGCCGGCTGAATGCGCACGCGCGGCAAGAGCTGCGCGCGCATTCAGCCGGTCTCATAGGAAAGCATTTACAATGCTTTCCTATGGACGCTGGCGTGCTCTCACTGTGAAAATCACAGCGAGAAGCACGCAAGCGCCTCTAGTGGCTGTCAATGAGACAGCCACTAGAGGATTAGGGGGAAGGCTTAACCCATTCATAAACATAGCAGTTTCTCTGAAACTGCTATGTTTATGAAAAAATGGGTTAACCCTAGAAGGACCTGGCACCCAGACCACTTCATTAAGCTGAAGTGGTCTGGGTGCCTAGAGTGGTCCTTTAACTATTACATTTTTTTTTAAAGCTCTATCGTGTAATATTTATATTGTGTTCAATAAAACATATCCATAGTATGCATTAAGAGTTATTAGATTAAATTTATTTTATTTTTTTCCATTTATTTACTCTGACCCATCATATTTAGCCATTTTTTTTTTTTTTTTAATTAGCAACATTTTCTATAAGCAAAAAATTTATAAGTAGACAGACACATTCTCATTAATCTGTTATGGCATGGCTGTCCGTTTCAGTCAAAATGCTCACCATGCTAAAATATTTATAATATACTCTACTTTAGGGATACATGCAATTAAACATCAGAATCAGTTAACAAGCTCAGTAGCATTTCGATCTAGTGGAATAATTCTGTGCAATGATTTTTCCTATATCCTTTCCTTTGTTATCTTTGGACCTGAAAAGAGTCACGTCATCTGGTTGCTATGACTCATTTATCCCAAGGCATTTTCTATTACTATATAAAAAATTCAACAATGCTCTTAAACATGCCTTCCAGGTTACTTTTTGTCTTCCATCTGGGAATCCAGAGTGCATAATGCATCTGAACTTATTTATTAGGGAAATGATTTTAAAATGAAACAAGTGCAGTAGACGGTATAAGAGGAAGCTTTTACTCCAGTCAATCTAGGTGATGGTTTGATGATTCTATGTATAAAAAAATAACTTTTTAGCCTGCAGCGGGTAATGTGCCCCTAACCAAAGCCTATGGGTGGGAGCAGGTGAGATGAACCATTTACAGACAGGCCCCCCCCTTCCATCAGTGGCAGGTCCTCTTGGACTATTTAGTTTGTCCCAGCCACTGCTAAATGTTTGAGGCTAAGGGCGCACCTATGGCAGGTCCCCCTCCCTTATCTATGATGCTCATTCTCCCACCTAATGAGTGGGTGCTAATCAGTGACAGGTTCCCCGCTCAGATTATTTTTTGTGCCCTACCCACTGTTAATTTAAAGAATTATTGAAAGTTGTGTATTGACAAGGCTCCTGGTCCCACTGTCGGCGTGGCTGCACACAAACTAAGCAGCCACGCCAACAGAGATGTTTCGGAATTACCTTGGCCCCGGTGGGCAGCTGCCTGGTCTCCCTCCGTTCCAGTCCACAGTGGGTGCGACGTTCTTAGGAACGCCGGCCGCTGCGGTTCAGGCTTTTATAAGAAACTTACCTTCGCCCACATCAAAGGTGGCGCCAACATGCACTGATGTCGCGTCATAGATGCGCACACACGTTTTGGGGTCAGAGACAGCCAATTAAAGCCAAAGGAGGGTTATTTAAACCCAAATTGCCTTTTTATTAGTGCACTGTCGTGGTTTCCACTAGCTGGTTATCCGAGAGTCTGTTCCTGATCGTGTTTTTTCTGGTATTTGACTTTGGCTTAGTTTTGACTTCCCTGATTTCTGGTATCCTTGACTTTTGGCTTTCTCCATCGTTGTGTATCTTTCTGTGTCCCTGACCTCGGCAAGTATTTTGACTATTCTCATGTACGTTAAGTCTGTACATTCTAAGGTCCGGTTAAACGTTATCCTTAGTCCTAGGTGTGATACTATTCTGTGTGCTGGATCAACAGTAATCCTGACATGTATGAAAAAAGAGTTATAAAGGATTTTGTAACCGTTTTTGAAGTTATATTCTAAGAAAAAGCAATCTCGAGGTAAAATAAATTGCTACTAGATGGCAGAGATCAAAAACTGGGGTAAATTATAATTGGTCTTTGGTCTACCAATAATGCAAATAAAGATGGTTGCCAACTCAAAAGAAACCTGCCTAGTTCAGAAGATCTGAAATTGAGAGAGGTGGGTGGTCCGCAAATGATCACATCTATGATACCAATTGCATTGTCGACAACATAACTGCCTGTAGCGGATACATGGGTTTAAATAATCCAGAAATTACTGCAAGCTCCTTTAGGATTCACAACCTCAAGTTCTCTATCAATTCCTCCAACAAAAGCTGGCATAGGCAATCTGTTGGGTTATTGTGAAGACTGACAGAAAACTATGTGCCTAATGTAGGAACATTCTTATACCTGCAATGTCCTGTTAATAAAGTAATTAAACTCAATTTAAAGGCACATTATAAAGTACGGAACCAAACATATATCCCTGACCCTATAGTGTTAAAAAAACACTATCTAGCCCCCATGACCTCCCCCTTGTTTCCCTAAATATAGTAAAGTCTTACTTTTGTTTAAGTCTGCAGCTGCTAGCTCTGCCACTGAGCTGCTCGCTTTGCTGACATCATTAGAAGCATTCTCATAGGATTGGCTGAGACTGTCAAAGAGGCAGATCAGGGGCAGAGCCAAACATGCCCTGGCCAATCAGCATCTCCTCGTAGAGATGCATTAAATCAATGCATCTCTATGAGGAAAATTCTGTGTCTCCATCCAGAGGGTGGAGACACTGAATGTCTTGTGCAGAACTGCCCTATGAAGCACCTCTAGTAGCCATCTGAGGAGAGGCCACTGGAGGTATGTCTAGACTGTGATGTAAACATTCATGTTACAATGCTGCCACCCATCCCATAACTAATAAGTAGGTAGAGGTTTGGAAAAATACCCCTCTCTGTCTCATTAGAGATTTCTTTGCCTGAAACTGAATGAAGCAAGGTGAATGTCAGTGTAGGAACCACCTGAGGGGTTTGCCTTGATGTGGCAGGTGGGCGTGCATCTAATGGCCATTGGAGTTACTAAATAACCTCCATTTATTTAAATATGCATATGGATTTGGGCTAGTGCGCAGGTAACTCTTTTTCTTCGTTTTTTTATTGTATTGTAAACAGTGCCTGAAGGGACTGATTATACGCAACAGAACAAATGTAATAAGCTGTAGTTGTTCTGGTGACTATAGTGTCTGATTAACTACCATTTTTATTTATTGTTTATTGTTGGGGGGTGTTTTATCTTGTTTATACAAGG